CTATATGGTAGGGACAACAAAGGGAATCCAACACGAAATTTTAGGTGTCACATGCATTGAACAACACAAATATTTGAATCGTAAAATGCAAGTGTTGTCATCTGCTGATTTGTGGCAGACACCAAGTTTCTGTTCAACAGAGAGTGACTTCTTCTTGGTTTCTATATATAGGAAGATTCGCTTACTATAATTAGTAAATAGCCCATTTCTCTGTCAAATTTATTACTCTTGTTTCATTTTATTTCCATGTTTTATTAATTACGATAATTTTGTTTTTCGTCTTTTCCAGTTTTTGTTTTAAAATTGGAAATGTGACATTGCACCCACTCAAATCAAATTCACCGACCGATTAATTATAACGTTGATAACGATTTTCTGAAAAACTTTTCTTCTGTTTGTTTATATATATTTTATCGTATCACTAGTAGACACGTTTAACTTTTAGGTTCAAAGTTCCAAATATGTTTTGCATTAGTTAGAAGCGTTACTGTTTTTCATCAACTAACGTTAGTACTAACTTATTTCATTATTGTCTTCAAATTTGCTCTATGAAAATTTGATCCGAATTATTATAATTTTAATATCCATTTTTTTATTACAATACATAAGATTTACATCGTCAAATTATACACGTAGTTGTTAAAAGTATTTAGAAGACTATTTTCAATTTCCATATCAAATATTATATTTTTAATACCATAAAATCACGATGATGATTTAAATCAATTTTTTTTTAATCCAAACGAAACTAATTCAAATGAAACTATTCTAGCGGTATTGTGTTCTGAAGAATCGTATATTTTGTTCATTTCTTTTGGATCTTCCTCATGTATTTACTGACAAATGGTCCAACATTTGGGAGTAAACGGTGGATCAAAATTTCACAAAGTTTCTTGGTTATAGTTTCTTTTGCTGAGTTGAAAAAGGGTAACACAATCATACAATGACGTTATTGTACAATTTGCTTAAATTGAAAAGAGAAAAATGTCAAGAAATAAGAATTGATTGATTCAAAAATAATGTTGGAGAGTTATCAACATTTGGGAAGATCACTTGGAGGAGGAAGAATTGATTGGTTTGGGCCTTTGCCGTCTTCCACCAAGAAAGCCATCTTTAATCCCCATGTTGTGTGTACCTCTAAATGGCAATGCATAAACCAAACCCCTGCATCCACATATATACACATATTATTTCAACTAATTAATTCACTATTATAAATCGTAACCATTAGATTTATATACACATATACTTGATATCATGTCTCTATCTATACAACTAGTATTTCGTTTTCTATAAGCAAACACAATTATAATAATAAAAGAATTCATTAGGGTTTGCTAATTGTAACCTATTAATTTGTATTAGTACATGATATATACCTGGATTATCTGCTCGGAATCTGATGGCCGTCCAACCACCGGAAGGTACACCGACGGTGTTTCTCTCCACCGGATCAACCAGATTAAATTTCTTAGAATCTTTTTTAGAGTTATAATTCCCAATTCCAAAACCAACCACAAAGAAATTAAATCCATGAAGATGAATAGGATGATTCTCTGGAGCCACATTTCCTGTATCTTGCAAAACAACTTGCACCGTCGAATTATAAGGGAGCTTGTAAAGCTTAGTAGCCTTCATGGTTGCTAAATTCGAAGGCGGTTTTCCGGTAAAATCGAAAAACCGGTGTGGTTTTCCGGGGAAATCGGTCGTGTAGATTCCGGTTAGGTTAAAGTAATGTGCTTGAAGCAGAGCAGTGGTAGGCATTTTGAATGTAATGTTGTTTATCGCGGCGACTACACGTGAAAAGTTCCCGGCTTTACAACTGTGACAACGGTTGATTCCTAATCCAACGGTGAATAACAGATCATGATCGACGGTGATGGGAACTTTAGCCGGATATGTGATTGAATTGAGACTCCGGAGTGAATTAATAAACGTGTTTGCCACGGAAGTAGCGTTTTGAGGCGGAGGTGAAGTGGTTTTGGTTGGTGTGGCGGAGAGTGTACCGGAGTAATGAACGGTGGCGGTTGCGGTGCGATTGTCTACGGCGACTACAGCGGAATCTTGGAATGGAGCGGCAGCGATTAGGTATTGACCGGAAGGACGAGCAGCGGAGACTAATGCGGTGGTTGTTTGACCGGGAGCGATTAGGATTGTATCGGTGTTGAAGGGTTTGACGTAAACGGCGTCCACTTCCACGACGGTGAAACGGTGGCCGGCGATCTTGAAGAAGAGCTCTTCGTTCATCGCTGCGTTTATTAGCCGTAACATGTATGTTTTCCCGCTCTCCACCGCTAATTTAAAATTACCTTTAATTTTATTAAAAAAAAAAAGACAAAACCAATTACAATTTTAGATTAGTAAGAATATTAATAATATAAGTAAATAAATATATGTTGAGTTTTTAGATTGTCATAATTCTTATTTTGGTCAAAATTTTAATAAAAAGATACACAAATTTGAGTTGATAGAAAAACGAATTCGTTACCTTGTGATGGGCAATTTGGGACAAGACCAGGATGACCATTAATGACGTGAGCATCTGAGACATTTGGTGCTAAACCGGATTTTAGAGCTTCGTTAACAACCGTTTCGGTATCTGATTTCCACCACTCACCTATAGAAAATAAACCGGGAATTCAAAATATATTAACCAAATCGATTATGTAACGCTTTCCATAATTATATCTCTTTGTTTAGTAATTAGTATAATATTGTACCTAGAATGATAACTTCTTCTCTGTGTGGTTTAGGGAACGGGTAAGGTAGACCCGGTTTAGGCAGAATCACAATAGCACCATGAACCGTAGCTCGGAGCCAGAGTACATGTGCGTGCCACCAGAGCGTGCCACGTTGTCCCGTGACCGTGAAGTTATACACGTAATTGTGACCCGGTTTGATTGGACATTGGGTTATGTAAGCCGGTCCATCGGCCCAACCGGTTCTTAATTGTCTTATTCCGTGCCTACAAAACAAACAAAATCAATAATGTTTAGGTCCATTTTAGCAAGTTTAGAAACTTAAGGGGAGGAAAACTCGATAATTTAAAAATATCAGGGTACTATTAAGTTCTCACCAATGGATAGAGACGTTATACTTGACGTTATTAACGACGTTAACGAGAATTGTGTCGTCTTCATTAGCGTAGATTGTGGGTCCCGGGAATTTACCATTAACGGTAACGATCTGTTTCGTTGAACAAAGCCGCGTTACTTGCTTCGTTACCACCTGAAAGTTTAGATAATTACGTTTTAAGTACTTTACTTGTGAAATTCACATACAACACCAGATAATTTTTAGTTTAAACCCAAAATGAATGTATGAAACAATATATTGAATCATGTATCTTGATAACATTGGTGAGGACTTACGTTAAATGTGTACTTGCGGATTGCACCTTGGCATGCCGGAAAAGCGAGCAATGCAAAAAGAACCAAAATCCGGATCGGAAATTCCATTTTGCTTGCCCTTTTTAATATTTAAATTGTAGTAAAACTTTCCTCTTTTGGTGTTCTATTATCTCTCTACTTTGTCTCTCTTTATGTTTTGTGATTTGAAAATGATTCATGATCATTGGTTTATATATAAAGATGCAAAATGTTGGGTTCTTGTGGTTCGTCAGTTTGGTGAAATTAAAGCTTGAAAGCTTAGAGGGAAAGTATATGTTTCTCTTTGTGGGTTGGAACCTAAGCGTAGGTTAGTTTCTTTTTATGTTTTTTTTTGTTTTCAAATTTCACAATGCCTTGTTTTGTTTTTCATGTTTCACTTTGTAATTTCTATAGGTTCTAAATAAAAATAATAATAAACGTTTTTTATTTTAATATATGGATCATATGACATCTACCGATAAAGTGTAACAAACGTAAATTTATTCCCAAAAAAACTTCCGTAATTGAAAGAAAATCTAAAACCCTTATTTTTTTTGAAAATATAATTAATTAATGGTTGAAAAATACCTTTCAAGAAATCTTATTGGAGGATACATCTAACAGAAAATTATCATATTTGTTGGGAAGCAATAACCGAACTAATTCGTTTGGTCAGGAATTAAAGTAGTCAACCTATATTTGAGTGCGACGGTTTTTTTGTCTCTTTGTTGGTAATAGGTTAACTTATATAGTGTGCTCTGTTCATTAGGATCAGTAAATCCAAAATCAAATAAATAAAGATTAGTCATAACTACTTTTGAATTATTTGAGTTTTGAACATGACATTTTCTGGTTGTTGATTAATTTGTTTGGGCCAAAACTCAAATGATAAACCATTGCATAAATTGAATTTAAATATTTGGAGTAACCCATTTTGTCTGCATGGCCCAGCATATGAACCATCTAAAAAATACTTAACCCCCACTAGTTCTTTCACTAAATGAGACACAAAATAAATCATATCCTCATTAATTAGGAGAAATGTACTAAAACCAAGGCCAAATCCATGTATTAAACCAAACAAAAAGAAAAAGAAATTGAAATAGTGGTTGTTTACAAATGTCCCTAGACACAAATCCAACCAGATACGTCTATATCACTTCAAATTCTTTCCCTTAAATTTGTTTGACCAAAAAATGTAACAACATTGGTGATAATAAATTCATGATCATAAATACAGCAACATTCTTGGATAAATATCACATCGAAAGAAGTGAAAACATTTGCTAAAAGATCCCTAAGGTTAATATTTATTTTGGTTGCATACGTGCAAATTCTTTCAACGAACATTACAACCTTGATCACATGTACCATGAAGCAAGCGGCTAAATCATGTTTTTTTCCTTTTCTAACAAGTATTTGTATATCATGTAACCATTCTATGAATCTGGACACAAAGCATCCATAAGTTTGATTGCTTGTGTTTATGGATTTATTTCCATATATAAAAATTTCCCTTTTTCTTCTGAATTTGGTAGTATTGTTAAATTTAAATATATAAATTGGAAACATACACAACCACTCTCTTTAAATGCTACTAAGTGTTAAAACAGAATTTTCCCAAATGACATAAAAATCCAAAGTTGAATTCTACAAATGATACGAAAACACTAGTATTTCAGTAACATAAAGAAAACAAAAATCTTGACCCAAAAAAAAAGATCTGCAATAATAGAGAAAATAATAAATTACAGGGACGTAAATGGTAAATAGAATATAAACCTGATTCTATTCAACTATTGATTCAGTTGTGTTATAAATATAAGCACACACGGCGCAAAAACAAACACTTATCAAGTTATAATTCCGGCACCGGCACATACTCCCACCGTCGCCGGTAAAAGTCGCCGTCGTCGTCGACTTTTCGTGAGGTACGTACGAATCTCTCTAACGATAATTTTTGTTTTTTTCTATGATTAGTATTTGTTTGTGGATTAATTTTTCCAGATCCAATAATTTCTCGTCGAATTTTGTTAACAACTAATGCGTTTTGTGTATGTAATTATGCTTGTAAGAGAGATTAATTAGGCTTATCTCAGATCAATGCTCATTAAAAAAAAAAAAAATCGATCTTCTTCGATTCTTTTTCAAAGTAGAGTCACAGATATATCTGATGGTGTATTAGAAATTATTCATAAGGTTTGATAGATTATTACTTGGACGATAAGTCATCTCTTTTGTGTATTTTAAGAGCTTAAAAGCAAACTTATTTGATAAATTCTTCTATTAAATTTGATGAATCAAATCGCAATTTCTCTTTAGATTATACATTGTTGTTCTTGTTTCAATAGACCCTTTTTTTGCAATGACATTGTTTTGGTCAATTAAACTCATATTGCAGATTGATTGAAATTTGGTGAAACGCGAAAAAGATGAAGATTGAAGAAGACATGGATACATATACACAAGATGGAACTCTTGACATTCACAAGAAACCAGCAAACAAGAAGAAAACAGGAACCTGGAAAGCTTGCAGATTCATTCTCGGTATGCATTGCTACTACAACAATTTCTCTTAAATCGGTTTCGAGTTTTGATTTGATTTCTTGAATCAGGAACTGAGTGTTGTGAAAGATTGGCTTACTATGGTATGAGTACTAATCTTGTGAACTATCTAAAGAAACAACTGAATATGGGAAACGTCACTGCTACAACTAGTGTCACAAACTGGCAAGGAACATGTTACGCTACTCCTTTGATCGGTGCTTTTATCGCCGATTCTTATCTCGGTCGATACTGGACCATCGCTTCATTCGTCGTCATCTACATTTGCGTAAGTCTAAAAACCCAATCTTTTGAATGGAATCACAGAATCTTGAAACATTTGCACTGTTTTTTTGTGTGTAAATTAGGGAATGACGTTATTGACGTTATCAGCTTCGGTTCCTGGTCTAACACCTACCTGCAAAGGAAACGATTGTCATGCAACAGCGGCTCAATCCGCGGTTGCATTCGTAGCGCTTTACTTGATCGCGCTCGGGACAGGAGGGATCAAACCTTGTGTCTCCTCCTTTGGTGCTGATCAGTTTGATAATACAGATGAAAAAGAGAAAGAATCAAAGAGCTCTTTCTTCAATTGGTTCTACTTTATGATCAATGTTGGTGCAATGATTGCTTCCTCTGTTCTCGTCTGGATTCAAATGAGTGTTGGTTGGGGTTGGGGTTTTGGAGTTCCTACAGTCACAATGGCCGTCGCCATCGTGTTCTTCTTTGCCGGAAGTAAGTTTTATAGGCTTCAGAAACCAGGAGGAAGTCCACTCACAAGAATGCTTCAAGTCATCGTCGCTTCTTGTAGGAAATCGAAAGTTAAGGTCCCTGAAGATGAATCTCTTCTCTACGAGATTCAAGACGCCGAAAGCAATATACAAGGAAGCCGAAAACTCGAACACACTACTACACTAACGTAAGCCACTAAACTCTCACTACCATTGCAAGTAGGATTGTTCTGATGGTCCAGTGTGTTGTTTGTGTTGTCGGTTTTAACTTTAATCCATTACAGATTCTTCGACAAAGCAGCAGTGGAGACAGAGAGCGACACAAAACAAGCAGCTAAGTCGTCATGGAAGCTATGTACAGTGACACAAGTAGAAGAGCTTAAAGCATTGATCCGTCTCTTGCCGATTTGGGCCACAGGGATTGTCTTTGCCGCAGTTTATAGCCAAATGAGTACTGTGTTTGTACTACAAGGCAACACAATGGACCAACACATGGGACCTAACTTCACAATCCCTTCTGCATCACTCTCCTTATTCGACACACTTAGTGTCCTCTTCTGGACACCCGTCTATGACCAGCTAATTGTTCCRCTYGCCAGRAAACACACGGGCCACGACCGCGGATTCAYGCAGCTTCAACGGATGGGAATCGGACTCGTAATCTCTATTTTTTCTATGGTCTCAGCTGGAATCCTAGAGGTGGTAAGGTTAAGCTACGTCCGAAMACACAATCTCTACGAACAGGAAATCATTCCGATGACGATTTTCTGGCAAGTTCCACAGTATCTTTTAGTCGGTTGTGCCGAGGTTTTCACTTTCATAGGCCAGCTTGAGTTCTTCTACGATCAAGCTCCTGATGCTATGAGGAGTCTTTGCTCGGCTTTGTCGCTCACGACTGTCGCTTTCGGGAACTATCTAAGCACATTGCTTGTGACTGTGGTTACTAAAGTCACGACATCCGGTGGAAGACCAGGCTGGATCGCGAAGAATCTGAACAGAGGTCATCTTGATTACTTTTACTGGTTATTGGCTGTTGTGAGTTTCTTGAATTTCTTGGTCTACCTCTGGATCGCTAAATGCTACACTTACAAGAAAGCAACGGGTCATGCACTATGAAGATGAAGAAACATCACGAAATCTGCAACATCTTATAGATATCTCTGATTCTTCTTTTTCTTGTTTTGATCTATTTAACGCTCTTACAGTATTCTTTTGCGTAATTTCAAAAACATAACTCATTGATCTTTTCGTGTGTTGAGATTCTATAGTGAAACTACTTTTAGACTTTTTTTCTTGTTCCAGTGGCTGACCTTGTTTTCTCTGATTGCAACTTGAACAATGCCACTTGCTTTTGCTTTCCTTCCTAGTGATGAGTCCGTGATCAAGTGAAATCAATCACTTCTGAGACTCTGATACAAGATTTCAAGGAACCTGCAGGATCGAACACTACTCACTCAATTAACAGTTATCAGACGAAGCAAATAAAGGAGAATGAGAAGACTAACTCGGTCAAATCGAAAAAGTATCATATAACTTGATTAATAGACCCAAGTTTGAAACTTATAACTTGGGCTTGATATGTCAAGCTACTATTACATTTGCTTTTGCATCGTAAAGTAACAGATCTCAGTGATGTTTACTCAAATCACCAAGACCAATGTGTCACCCAGATGCTAATACAGAGCTCACTCAACAACCATTTTCGTTTCTTTCAGCTACTTAAACATAACTTGTTTTCTCTCAAGTAAAGAATAAAGATTCCACCTTTATGCAACATTCTTTGCTAATAACTACAGATACAGAGAAAAGCCTCAAAACCAGACTAGCTTAGTTGCTGACATCAAAAGAAGAAGATACACTATACCTTAAGCTAAGCTGGCCATAAGATTACATTGCCTTCTCAAGTATCTCTCGTAACATAAAACGTAATCTCAGGAGCCACTTCTCTCTCAGACATTTCGTCGAACACTTCCAATGCATCACTCAAAATTTCCAATTCACACAATATCGTTGATCAAGACACTATAAACTATACACACGAACCTATTTAACATCAAACCCAGAAGGAACTGCTGCTTCTTCTTCGTCGTACTTTGCAATCGATCCAGCTCGACGGCGTCGGAGTGAGCATAACCCAAACTCGCGAGTGTTTTAGTTTTTGTGATTTAATAAGGAAAACGAACCGGTTTAAATTTCCCCCGGTTTCATCGGTTCAGTAAGATAACCGAGATTCATCACAAATTCACAATCAAAATTCAAAGATTAAAAGGTGAGAGGATTAAGAAAAATATGAACGTTATTAATCAACGGTAAATTTTCTCTCTCTTTATTACCGTTGTGAAATCAATACTTTAATCACAAAAACAATTACATAAAACTTCATTTTTCTTTTAAATACCTCAAACCTCTCTCTTGTTTGGGGACATTTCTTTATATACCCTTATAGGTTATATGATATTCAGATATAACATTCTGTTAAAAAAAAATTTATTTTTGATTTAAATTTTGTGTAAAAATCGAAAAAAGGTAAAGACCCAAAACTCCTTAATAAAATTTCTTATTTACAGATCCAACCATTCTAAATAGATCAACTCACACCCAAACCCAAAAAATTCGGATCCCACTCTCCCTCTTTAACCCGACAACTCCCTCGACAGTTTTAAAAAAAACACAAGTCCGCCCATCTTCCAACTCTCTTCGCTTCTTCTTTAACAAGTTCTAGTACAACCAAGGATAACTCTTCGTAACTCGAAATCTAATTCCAAGGTAAGTCCGAATCTAATTCTTTTATTCAAATCYGAGTATAYATTTTGCAATTTTGAGTAGAATTCGCGTCGAATTTAGGTTAAAATGCTTAACCGATTTCGCGAAGTTATAATGTTGGGTTGTTTGGTTTTTCGAATATCAATGGCACGCACGAAGAACCCAAATTATGTTGGTGATTCGCCTCCTGGACAACGCGAAGTCCCTGATGGTTCGAATGACACTGAGTCGCATGTAAATGAMWMARAAAAAACTGTGTYGGACTCCAGCCATTYAAAGGTATGTCTMAATATTGTGGCCAACTAAGTGCAAATTRGTATAACTTGCTAGTTTTTGTAACTTAGTAATCGGTTAAATAAATAGTGTACCTTAGTAAATCTTGGTATAACTTGTTAGTTTTTCTAAATTGAATTCGGAAACAAAAGGGGTAACATAGTAAATGTTGGTATAACTTGTTAGTTTTGTAGCTCAAATTCTGTGAAACAAACGGGATAACTTAGTATATATT